ACCAGCTTTGAGTCACATAGCTCCACCACCCATCCGCCGGGAACATGCCCTTGTCAGAGAATTTACAAAAATCAATACTGATCCTGAGCTCCGCTGCCATGTCGGAACTTCCGGCGAGACATAAATAGGCTCCGTTCAAGACACCCGCATCTAAAAACAGCAAAAAGGCTAGTAGATCAAAACTTTAATGTAACTGAACGGTGGAGAGAACAATGGGAGAATAACGCTGCACCAGCTAACTGGAACATGCCATGTATTACAAGCAAACCTGAGGGCTTCAACCAACCGAGACGAATTTGGACCACACTCAATAGAATAAGGACGAACTGTGGCAGATGTTCCGACTCACTTTTTAGATGGGGAAAAATACAACCACCAAATTGCGACTGCGGCGCCGAAAGGCAAACAGTAAAACACGTGGTAGAAGAATGCCCGATTAGATCCTATAACGGCAACCCTTCGGATTTCCTGGTTGCTACAAAAGAGTCAATCGAATATATTTATAATCTAGATGTTTGTTTGTAGAATAATATTTTTGTATTTACTGTTTGTAATTTATATAATTTATAAATATAATATAATTTATATATATATATATATATTATATATATATATATATATATATATATAATATATATATATTTATATATATATATATATAATATATATATATAAGGATCACTCAGACGAGTGGTGGGTTCTTATATCGGTCTCTAGGTGGAAAAATAAAAGACAAAGTTGATAGGCTACTTTATCTATTTTGAAGACGTTTCGCTTTCGAGTTTTGAAAGCATCATCAGTTCATCTAAAAAATTATTACAATATGAGAACCACACAATCATGGAAACGATGTTAATTGTTACCTTAAAAAGATATGTAGCAGTCAATGTTATTAACAAACATGTGAATGAAACTAAGTAAATGGACATAATACGCTGATCTTGTATAAACAGTTAAGCAACTAACAACATATATGAACTTGTAAAAAATTAGCACAGCAAATGACCATGTGGTCTAAAGTAAATTCAATGTTATTTAATGTTAATAAGTGAGTAAGAACCAAGAAAATCATAAATAACTTCCAACTATTTAATGGATATTAAGCTTTGATTTTAACTTTAGGTAGCATTATAAGTGATATTAATAAAATTTTAAAAAGTAGTAAATATGAAGTTACCGATCAAAGCCCTATGAATGTCGCCGGGAAAATGGCGTTTAATGAAACAGGAACGAACTAAACCGCAAAAAGACAGCCATATATATATAATATATATATATATATATATATATATAATATATATATATATATATATTGTTGTGATCTGCTTTATGATGTTTTATTATTAATTAACGCTAATTTAATTAATCCAATTATTTAATTAATTAATTCACTAATTTATGCAGTCATATAATTCAGTTACTATTAAAAATTCTCAGGGTGCCTTTTTATTAAAAATTATTACTTTAATCAGTTTACTTTATATATCTCTTCTAGTGGGTTCAGTATCTCCTAGTTGCTCATAATCGGGATAGAACAGGAAACGGAACTAACATTAAATCAACATAAATATGCACACAAATTATTATTTATTTTCAATAAACAATACGATTAATATTAATAAATAACTTCCCAACAAACTCCTATACTCTAAATTTAATTTTAATTACAAACTATCTATTGATCTGTTTTATAATAATATCTACAAAAAAATGACCATATAAAAATATAATTTATTCACAAAAAAAAATAACTCTTTGAAACTTGGAATCTTAGTTCGTATGCTTATATTTGATTTTATCTTTAGAATATCTTAAAATTTTCTTTCATTCAAATTATTTGACTGACTTTATTTTTACACCAATGATGTCTCCTCTCGATCAAACCACAGTTCCTTCCTTGATTGATTATGTCCGGCTACCATCAAATCTTTCCCGTTCTCAGCATCGATCCAAACCGCATACCAGCAAACTACTCCTCCGAAAACACAAGTCCAAGCCTCTTTTGACCGGTACTATTTATTCACAAATTCTCCTTTCTTTCTCAATTATATCTCGTGGACTATGCAGACTCAAAACAGGTATTAATCTTCTCGATTTTGATCTGCTCTCAGCTTCCACCTTTTTCACTAACAAACGAAAACACTGGTACTCAGATTGACTACACGAAAACACGACTTCTCTTCTGGTCTGCCGGTAACCTAATAATCTTTCAATCTCTCCCAGACAACCTTCTCAACTTTCTCATTCCCACCATTCTTTTTTAACCAATCATAAGCATTCATCTTTCCCACTTATTTTCGATTTAGAAAATTTCCAACATGATATTTAAAACAAATAAACTACTTTCACTCAAATTACTTTTCAGAAACCATTAACAATTTTGCCTTTTTCAACAGAAATAAGTTTCCAAATTCTTGTTATCTCTTATCTAAATCTAATTCTTATTTACTTTCGAAAAATGCCCACCGCAAAATACAATTACAAGTTTATTCCTAAATCTATAATTATACTGATTCCATTGTCCTTTCACTATTCACTCAGTCTTTCACCGAAAAACTCGTTAGGGTCCCGTCACGGAACAATGTTTTCTCTTATTCTAACTATTACAAATAAGTACAGGGTTGTATTTTAACTTATATGCTCGCGGTATATTAAAATAATAAAAAACTCTTTATTCTATTTCTGATCGATAAACTGATCCATAACAATATATATATATATATATATATATATATATATATATATATATATATATATATATATATATATATATATAAACCTGTGATGTAGCCATACGCTAAAAATTATAATAGCAGAAAAGATAAATAATTCATAATAATTAAATCAAGGTTTTTGTTTTATTTTTTAATTGTGATTATTATATCAGCTTTTACTATTTCTTATTCTGTTCCTATATTATGTATATCAATATTAAGCTACAATATTCTACTGTTTAAAAGACCTATGCTATCTTGTTTACTCGTTCAATATTTATAGATATACTCCTTTCTACATCGTTGTAAAAGCTTTCAAATGCTGTTTGCACAGACATTATATCCAGTTTTATTTTTGAGTAAAAGAACGTTCACCCCGAAAATTATTATATACCCAGATATAAAAGTTTAGGATATTATTCCTCGGGGAAGTTCGTAATATATAGGCGGTTTATTGGGTAATGTGTTTATGATGCGTAATTTACGTATGAGCAGAAAAACGATTTTTAGTAAAAAAAACTTTAATGTTGCTTCTTTTTATTATTTCAGCGTTACTGACAGAACACATCTATACGTCATAAATAACAGTGTACAGTCATAAATAACAGTGGGAATTGACAGTTGGGAATACACTTTTCGAATTTCCAAATAATTTTACTAATTTTCAGAAAGTTAAACTTGATAATTAATTCTGTGATTTTCTTTTGTGGAGGGAGGTTGTATTATAAAAGTTCTGTGCAGAAGTGAATTACAATTTAAAACGCTGGTAGGAATAAAAAGACAAAACTAAATAGAGGTAACTAACTTCCTATCCTTATAATCTTTAACTTTTAGTTGTATATAAGTAATTTGGATTGTATATAATAAATTTTAAAAAAACAAGTTTTTTTTTTATTGGGTTAATGCCTCGACAACTATGATCATTGGCATGGTACAGTCAGGTACCTAGTGTAGTGTGTGTGTGTGTGTGTGTAGAGTAATTGTCTTGATACTTAGCAAAGTCGACGTCATTGTCTTTGCTAAGAGACGCTAATTGTATCCGAACGTCTGCGGTCCCTCTGGTGAGTACCGATCGCACAGGGATAGAAATTATTTTCATTTATTAATTTTTAATAAACGAAAATTTCCGCCCAGATGAGATTCGAACTCACGACCTTTAGATTTAAAGGTAGGCGCTCTTACCACTGAGCCACAGAGGGGGTTACAAAAAAAAAACAAGTTTAAAGAGGCTGAATAAAGGGAATAGCCTAGGTGGTTGACCCCCTAATGTTGGGATGGTAATAAGTAAGATAGATGATTCAGATTAAAGGTCGCGGCATTTTATCCTGCACATATATAGTTTCCGGCACATAGCGTTTGGGGTCGAGCAATCGGACTGCGCGTTCACATTTTCATACATAGAACGTTTCAGTTTGGTGCGGTGAAGATATATTCTTGCTTTTCGCGATAAAAATTATGTGCACTTGCTCTTCTACTTAACGATGAAGAAAGAAAAACTGTAGTAAAAAGAAGGTTTGAAGTACATCCAATGCTAAGAGAAAGGAAAAAGGAAGGTGAATACTGAACTTTATACAAAGAATTAATTGATGAAGATAGAAAATATTATGGATATTTCAGAATGAATAGGATTTAGTTTAAATATATTTTAAATTTAAAAGCATTTAAATTTATAACCTTTAGTTATAAACTAAAAATACTACATTTAACGAAGCCATACATATATAAATATATAAATGACAAAATAGCCTCGAAAATTATTTTTTTTTAATTATCTATATCAAAATTAAACAAATCCTAAATAAACAACGAGGAGAAAACGACGGACCCCTAATTCACATTATCCGTACCAACCGGTTACGACCCGTTACGTAGCCGTCGGCATCAGTAAAATATTGTTTTCGAATATACTGAACGGAAACGTTAGGAGTCTGTAACAATACCTTCCGGACAGTGTGAGTTGTTTATATTTAAAACCATTTAAATGATATTTTTCGGAAACTAAACGCTGCAGGCTGGAAACGCAAAGTGTATGATAATATGCCACGACCTTTAGAATGCATTTAGAATGCAATATAAATTTAGACACAACATTTGTTGAAAATAATGGTAATTCGGAGACCACTTATCAACATGATAGTAAGTAGATAGTAAAAAAGACAAAAAATAATTTTCTTATCAGTATACCGACACTGGCTCATTCGAGGTCTATGGAATCAAATAACAATAACGTCGAAAATTATAGTTTTTTAAAGCTTGCCAAATATATACATGATAAGAAAATTGAGAATGTACAAAAAATTAATAACAAAAGGTAAAAATCGAATTAGGATTGTTTTTAAGAAATGCTAATACACTCATTTCAAATATAGGGGTGAAAAATGATGGATATGAACTCTTTATTCCTGCTATTAAAGTAACTTGTAGGGGTGTAGTAAATAATGTCGGTGCAAGTATTTCTGATATTGAATTAATTACGTTTTCGGGTGTATCCTCAGTAAATATTAAAGTTTTGGAGGTAAGACGTTTCAAAAGAAAATCAAAATATGGTTCAGGTAAATATAAAAATTTAGACAGCTGCGTTTACCTTTTCAGGAAACAACTCCCAAAAGAGGTTTCTATATAAGTATGGCATTCTCTTTAGGGTAAAGCCATATATGTTTCCTATGCTATCATTGTTTTCGTTTTGGTCGTACAAAAAACCAATGTAGAGGGGATGAAAAATGTAAAAATTATGCTGATAAAGCACATGAAGGGGAATGCATGATGAAATGTCTCCATTGTATTAGTAATTTTCATGTAAGTACTGTAAGAGTGTCTGGAATATGTTAGACAACAGAATATTAAAGCCGGTCTGTCTTTAGATAATCTCTCTTGTTTTGAGGCAAGTGAAAGGTATCCATATGGTTCCAAGAAAAAGTTACTAAAAGAAAATACATTTAGAGTAAGTCAGGACGAATTTCCACCTCTATCAAATCAGGTTAATATAACAGATAGAATTTCAATTAATCAGCGTTGGATAGAAAATATTCGAACCTAACCTAGAACAGTGGTCTAGCACAAAAAACAGAAAATAGCGGGAACAAAAATAAAAGAAAAATGAATGAGACAAATACAACTTATCACAAGGAGCTTCATAACCAAAATTTAATATCTCCAAATGGGAGATTTGAATAGGGACTCTCTCAGCAAGTTCTAAAATTCCTATCTCTGGATGTTCACGTACGGAACAACTAGAGAGGGAAACTGTTATGGTTATGGTGGTATTGCTACTGCTGTTGATAATAGATTGGGCCATGAAATAGTATATAATTATAACATATAGTCACAATATGACAATTCAAATAAATAAATGATAGCTAAAGCAAACAAAGGAATTAATGTCATGAGAGCTCACTTTATTTGTTATCTTACCGTCTGTGAATTGTTTTCTAAGTGTGTATACACTTTATATTTGAGTGTTCTTTTCTTATACTATATTAGATTATATATAGTTCTAAAGTACCTTTAATGGTAATTAAATTCAGTGTTTCATACAAGTAAAGTATTAGCTTCAGTAAATTAGGCAGCAGTCATCAGGAATTACTGTAAGTAATCATTATCTTCAAATTATCTGGGCGAGTAATATGATATAGTAACATATCATCTGCCATTATCTGGACGTATCTAAAGTTCCTCCATGTCTTCACCTGTAGATTGCTGATTTTTGTATTCAATTTAAAGAGCATTTCAATAGATTCAAGAAATTTCAATAAATATAATTATGAACATTTAAGTCTCAGTTTAGCATTAAATAATAGTGCGAGATAGTTAATCCACTTAACCAAGTGCGGTTTGGTTAAATTTTTATGTTTTCATTTCTGTAACCTTTTTGTATTTTTGTAAATTTAGAGTTGATTAATTTTTGTTATCTTTTGTGTTTGTTATAACTTTTATTCATTTTTTTTTGTAATATCTCGAGGTACGCCCAAAACTTTATTTGTACATGATTGCATTATATATCTTTGTAAAGGTATTTTTTTATTATATTACTGCTTATTTTTATATGTATACCACCATTTCATAGTTGTTGATGTATTTTTATTACTTGTGTTGCATTCAGCAGCGTCATAATTCTGTTGTTGAATATATTGTTATTGTTTTATGCATGCATTTTATATGTCGGCTCCTAACAAGTTCCCTGATAAAATAGTAACTCTAAATATTTGCTTAGTATATCAATTCATTATTATACCTTTGACCAGTAGAAAGATTAGGCTGATTAAGTTTCGTAGGTAAGTAAGTGTAATACCTAATATATTTATTATTTATTTATATAATGTGTTGACCAAATTTACTTGATAATTAACTGTTGGTATCTTTTCTTGAGTTTGATCTCTGAAGCTAAATATCTTTCCTTATCTTTTTTTTTCTAAGGTTTCTTAATTTTCTCCTTAACCCCAAAAAATTGAGTGGCGCCCTGTTTCTATTTTATCGTATCGTTGGTAATTTTACCCATCTATCTTTTTGTTTATTTCTGTATCTTTTCTAATATATCTTATCTTGTTCTATCTTTACTTATTTCGTCCGTTGGACCCATTCCCGGTTCCAAAAGCTAGTTTCGAACCCACGACTCGCTCTCCACCAACCATCTGGCTGCCGTCCGCAGTGTCTCCATTGGTGACCTTTCTAGCACCATGCAAAAAAGGTTTCCGAGGTTACAATTAAAAGCCTAGAATATTAAAAATTCGAAATTGAATCTAATGAAATGTTTTTAGCAAAATATGCTGGAATATATAGTAATCATACTGATGTATATACAGATGGATCTATTGCCCCACAAACTAACCAATCCGGATTTGGAATTTATATACCACGCATTACTTATAAAATTTCATCAAGACTCCATAATTACGCACAAATCTGTACAACTGAAATAATATCTATAATATAAAGCTAGTGTTCATTGAGAAGGAGATCATGAAAGCAGTTATCTTTGTGGATTCAAAAAGTGCTTTATCCAAAATTTCTAGTCTCAAATGGTATCTAATAGATTATGTTACCATAATAACCAAAAAACTATTGAGAGAAGCTAATAATATGGGATTCTCAATAGGAATAGAATGGGTATCTGGACATCAGGGGATTAAAGATAATGAGGTAGCAGATAGGTTGGCCAATATTGGGAGAGAATTAGGGGTACCATATGATATAAAAAATATTAGTGCAGATATCTTTTTAATTTAAAAAGGCATTTTAACACAATTCTACAATGAATGACATTCCCAAATTAAAGATAAAGATCCAGATTATTGTAAATTGAAGTGTAATTTCCCCATAAAACCACGGTACGTCAAATGTGGGTATATGGGCAGGAATACCATAACAATATTAATCGTTTACGTAGTGGACATTGTAAAACTCCTTGCCATCTCTACAAAATAGTTAAAAAACAGAAACACCGATATGTGAATGTGGAACCATTGGAACAGTGATTCATATCTTCTTTGAATGTCCTATAAACAAACACAAAAATATGGATCTGTATTTAGAATTGTTAAAAGGAGGAATAGAGAGTCCAAAATCCCCGGGGTTTTCTGGCCTAGTATTCTACTCGGCCGAAAGATGAAAGGGTATCTTGTTCCGTGACGTAGATGTCCAAAAAAGATTTCCCCCACCGTTGTCTGTCACAGTTCAATGGATACCTTCTTAGGCTCTTACTGGAATCTGGCAATACGGCAATTAAAAAAACATATAAAAATTCACGTATCATGCAAACAAATTCAAGTATCACCCAGCTGTCGATTAGTAAATGGGTAACTGGGTAAATGATTATACAATCAAAACCAAAAAAAAAACGAAGAAAAGGAAGAATACATCATAAATAGACTAGATCAATCCAACAAAATTGACATTTATTTAATACATACGAGTTTGTTAAAAAATCACTAGAGTTAATCCTCTTTCATATCTTCAGGTATAAAATATACATAATCAATTTATTGGTTGGAATTAGTTCTAAATAATAAATACCTGAATTCGTATGTAATATACATGCCTGCCGAGTTTTATTTTATAATGATATAATATAAAGAGACTTGGCAATTCCCAAGATACGCTTATCATTAAAAAAGTTCCAATTGTCAACTGTTCGGTTATCAAGAATGTTTAACTGTCGACGGTGAACAAGATCGCTTTATTATAGAGTGCGATGAAATGTTTTTTTGCTGGACAGCAGTAAAATTCATATTTCTATCATTTAACAGTTCTTGTAACCTTCTTTTTATCAACAGAACCTTGTTCTCCAAAAGTAGCTACGCAATTTAAGAGGTAATTATCAATTTCAATTCCTCCAACACAAGAACAAAAGAACTTTTTTGAAAGCAGCTCCAAAAAGTGTGGCGGGTGTGATTTTTTTCTTGTCAAAAACTTTGGACAAAAAAATAATATTTATTTTTATGTTCAAATAATTTTTTGAAACTTTAAAATAGCTTTGTCTCGTCTTTATGATTTATCCATTGTTGATTTCCGAATAATATTTTACTGAAATTTTTTCCAATATTTGTTTAGTTAGTAAAGTTTTCGGTGGTATTTTAACTGGATAGGTCATTATTGATTGAATTATTTGCCTAAGCCTAGTAGATTTTTGTCATTAAGAAAAAATAATCATTCACGGATTGATAAACGAGATACAAGATCAGAATGCAAGAAAACTAGCAAATAGCCTCTGTTTGGTAAAATAGCAGATAGCAGAATAGCTAAAACCTTAGCAGATTAGAAAGTACAATTAGTAATTAGACAGAGTAATCCAATAAAAAATCAGAAGGAGTCTAGAAAGAAATAATATCAAAATTGAACTTCAGAAATTAGTAAAAGAAACGAACTGGAAATGGAACGGAATAGGAAATTGTTTGCAAACAACGGTAAGAAAAACCTTACTTAAAAACATAACAGTGGAAGCAATCATAATAACAAATTTGAAAACGAAAATGGGGTAATGGATAACACAAATAAAAACAAAAAATATATATACATGTTAGACATGGAATGTAAGATGTACATATGATAATTACTATTTAAATGGGAATAAGCCAAAATTAAATGTTAAAGTACGTTTATTGACGTTTCAATTTCCACTAGCAACCATTGCGTTGCTATCATCAAGTCCTCGTAGATACTTTGTCTCAGGACCAGCAACCTTATGTAGAGTCCTACGTTGCCATGTTATTAATCCACTGGTAATTTTACCATCTTAACATATAAGATCCAAAAATGTAAAATAAATTTAAACCAATAACTTTTAACGGGTTTTTACCCAAATATTTAGTGGCTCAAAACATGCACACCTAGACACTGATGATGGAATATGGATTACGAAAACGTTTTGTTGTTGTGATATAGCCCGATTAGGTTTTTTAATATATACCTTTTATAAAGGATTTTAATAAATTTTTTGTGATACATGGTATATAGCTACAGGAACTTAGTTTTAATGTGGACATCTATAATCATATCCGATGGACACACCGTTTCCGGATAAGGGTTAAACATATTATTTTGTTCTGCTAAACAAATT